AAAAGACTCTGCGAAAAAATCCCTGTTCAATCTATTTAATCGCATTCAATATAGCCAATTTGGTCTATATCTATTTGTCATTTCTACCAGCTATTTTATCGACTGGTTATAACATTAATATCAATACATATCATGTTGTTCTCTGCCGATTTCTTATATACGATTCCCTTCTTATCGATATCTTATCACCATGTTATTTAATTCTTGCTTCGATCGATCGAATGCTTATTACATCTCGTAATGCTCGAACACGTCGATATAGTACTCAACGACTAGCTTATACATGTATCCTAAGTGTAACACTCTTCTGGGTTATCTTTCATAGTTATGCTTTCATTTCAACCAACATTATACAATTCGGGCCGAGTTATTTTATCTGTTATTTTGACTCGAATATTATTCTTGCATTAGTAAGTTACTATGGAGTAATTGTCAAAGGCATTCTTATTCCTTTATTAATGGCCCTATGTGGATGTCAAACACTACGTCATATTCAAAGTGTACGTCGTGTGGCTATTGCTCCTGACCCATCCACTCTTAGACCAACGAGGACTGGAAATCAGTCTTCCGTTCATTATAAAGATCGACAACTTGTCCTGATCATATTACTTGATATCAGCATTTATTTTGTGTTCAATTTGATGATTATTGGTGTTATCATGTATGAGCAAGTTACTCAATATAATTCGAAGACCTACGATCAAATTCAAATTGAATATTCTTTTCGAACGATTGGCGCATTTAGTATTGCAGTTCCATTCTGTGCAGATTGTTTTTCGAATTTATTAGTGTCGAAAACATTTCGAAAGGAATCGAAAAATGTCCTTCTATGCCAATGATCATGTTCGAAGTGGATGGATAAGAAGAGGAATACAAAAAATCGTGGTTTATCATTTTTCATCAACTAATTAATTCATGTTGTATTCTCATAGTATCGCTGTTGTTCGTTTGTCATTCTTCTCAGAAATAATAATCATTATTGTTTGATGTGTCACATTTCATCTTTTCATTTGTTGATCGCGTAATATCCCCAAAAATCGAGAAATTGTTCCCCTTCTGACAGAAACCGGTCACCCCACATAAAGTCAAGCAGAGATGCTTTCTAAGGCAAAAATAAGAGATCAGTCATACGCCAACATTCATATACAGAGATATCCTCCCGTGATCCTAGAGATACGGATGAAACACTTATTCTAATATCAAGAGAAATAGATCGAACCATGAGAGAAGTCAATTTTGAGACGAAATCATCAGCGTACCTGCCTAATTCTAAGTTGACAAGCCACCTTTTCCTCCTAGGATGAACATCAGATAGTACGGCGTTGTACGAATCATGCACTTTAATATATCAAGAGAATTCTAAAGATACCACAAGAATCATGCAATAGGAATCGTGAGTGATTCAAAGACGCGGATCCTGTACGATCATGGACTATCCGGTTTTGTAACCGATGAAACAAGACGGAGAAGGATAGAAGAGATTGATAACATATACTCGTTTGAACTTTCAATTTTGACTTCAACATCGAAATGTGTCAGTTTTCGATTTTTCAAAACGTGCTTTCGAGGGAGAGTCGCCAAGATGATTAATTTTGACCTGAAACTTTGGCCAAAATTTGAAACTATAATTTTCTTCGAAGAATTGGGGTCATTAAGGAGATAATCCACTAGAAATTCCATATCTCAGCCAAAACTGCACAAAAGCATGAACCTTTTGGAGGCCGTTTAGTCCAGTGGTCCTCTAGCAATGGGAGCAATTTGGCCTCAAAAGCTTTTAATCAGCATATGGGCTCAAAAACCTTGGGGACTCTTCCTCGAAAGCACGTTTTGAAAAATCGAAAACTGATACATTTCGATATTGAAGTCAAAAGTGATAGTCCAAACCAGTATCTGTTAACGGTTTTCTTATGAAAAAAAACTTTAGAGTATCCTCTATCACCGAGAAAAAAATGAGCTCATTTGATAAAAGACCGGTGGAGATATTGAATTTTATTATTTACCGAGACTTTTGGGACACCCTGTATTTGATACCCTCCATGACAGTTTGATAAAGGAGCGCGAGCTCTCGTAATGCACTAATATCCACTGGAAGGATCTGTATGTCTAATATGAGCATAGATGTGCTTGGAGGATGTCAAATGCAGTTTTTCGGTGTAACTCGACGAGCTCTTTTCAATCAACACAAAAAGCAAGCTGAAATCGCAGCAATATTTTGAGCTGTGGGTCGCTCAGGCATCATGAAAAGTACCTTGGAATACTAGTATGCCCATCAAAGCTCACCAACCGCACGTCATATTTGGAGGTTTTCCTTTTGGTACAGAGAGCTTTCATTTAAACGCAAAGGGAGCCGGGTAGCTCTTGGACGATTTAAACAGCTTCATTGTAACTAGAAAAGATCAGAACGTGTTTCAGAGATAACAGATCTGACTCACTCTTCACCTATCTATGTAACTTCTCTTATTCTGTTTCATTCGAAAACAAACTATCGTCAGTAGAATAATTCTTTCAGCTTAGTGCATCAACATGTGGAGATTCTTTACCTGCCTTCTGATCTGTCTGTTCTCGAATGGTCTTTGCACAACTTCAGAGGTCAATATTCGGCTTTGCAGAGCGCATCATTCACCAGAAGTACAACAGTGGCAGTACGTTCAAGATGACCACTCCATTCGCCCTATGCGCAGCCAGTTGTGTCTCACCACTCACGAGAATCAGTCTTCTTCGGTCTCCCTCTCCGCATGTGTGCCGGGTCTGAATTTTTACCAAGTGTGGTCGCTAAATCCTCAAGGTGGGGAACTCGTCGCTCTTAATGGGAAGTGCCTTGGTGTGCACTACAGGAAGCTGCTAACGCCGTCTGTCGAAATAACACCGTGTACTGGTGGAAATAGCCAGCATTGGATTTGGAGGAATATCACCGGTGGATTTCTGCAGATTAAATGGCCGTGGAAACAGTGTCTGACTGTAGTGAAGTAGCACACATTTCGATATATATGATGGCTGTATCGTTTGCCCAACCTTTGAATAAAATGTCGGTGTTATTTAAAAATCTGTTCATGTTTTCATCTGTTGTCTGCTTCGTACTACATCCTTTTGAAATTCGTTTTGGAGTTTACGAGATAGACATTCAGTTGAAAAGCTTTCACAAAGCGAAACTGAACTACTTCAGACTTTCTCAAACCATCTGTCTGAAGGAGGGGGGTTGAGTACTCATTAACCCTTTCATGGCGATGGGTTCTATCAGTGAGACCCATCATATTTAAGAAACAAAAGCGTCGATTGTGTACTATCGCTCACTCAAACTCAAACGTGGAAAAATAATTACTAATTGATCACTAATTGTTAATTACAAGCAACGGATCTGCACAGGCGGCGATACACTAATCGAAAAGATGAGAAACGAACATATCGGTATGTCAATCTTTTTTCTTCGTCGACATTAGTTAGTAGATGTTCGGTCACACACCCTCACCCCTCGTCACTGTCACGGTGTAATTTGGTTGTATTTCGCACTTTCGACGATGTACTCTTTTACATAAGGAGTGCAGTTGCCGTTGAGTGTAGATCATAATTACATTCTGTTGAAATGTCTGTATTAGATATTTACCGTGCCATTCGTCACTTTTATTTCAATTATCATCATGGAAAATCCCATTCTGTCTATCTTCATTCGGCATTCACTCGCCGTCTCCAATTCGCTCTTCGATTAGTTCTGACACTGCTCATCGGTGGATTTCTTGGTTATGCCACTCCATTACATAATAAATTAGCCTTAGTATATCTCATACCAAACTTTAGTATTTTATGCATACGTGAAACATTCGGAGATACACTATCTAATGTTCTTCATCTGACATCGGTCAAATTCCGCTTGTACACGAAGAACTGTTCGATGAAGTCAATCAGCAACTGTTGATTGGCTGTTAGATCACCTTTGACCAGTTTCTTCTTTCGATGAGGAACATGTATACGACTCCATCGATAGTACGTTGTTTGTGTGAGAGTAAAATACGATGTCCATAGATCAACACAATTACTCAAGTGTTGGCTTAGATCGGCCAGTTGCCGCTCAAGATCAGGTAGAAAACGATCCGTGGCAGAACTTGAATGCAAATTTTCAATTTGAGTATTATCCTTCTCTGCAATTTGATTGATATGCATTAACTAGCATCAACATCAAAAGACGAATCATTAAGTCATCTCTGTTAATTTCACTTACAGCAGTATGCATGTTATGTAACATTCTGAACATGTCAAGTTGTTCTTGGGCAAGGGTATTGTAGCGTTCCGATGAAAAGGCATAGTTAAACCACCACACCGATGGCTCATGTGATGCACTATTGAGAAGAGTTCGCTGAGTACTGATTAAATGGGTAAAGACATTTCTTTGAAGATCAGTGGTCAGTTTTATTTCTTTTTGTTGACTGGTCGTGATCGCAACACGTCGCGAATGTTGATGTTTAAAGAATTGATCACAGACAGAATGAATCGATTCAGCTACCTCCCGGCATGCCTTCAAAGTATCTGAAAGGAACATACGTTTAAAACAGACGGATATATCACTTATTCTTACTTTGAATATTCACTTTCAATAAATCAACGGCGAAAACGGGAAAGATCAATATCGTGAGGAACGCTCCTAAACCAATTCCAATAATCGACTCTTGTATACCAAGAAGGACATAGGATCTTCATACAATCGACCTAAATTGACCACAACGGGTGTCGAAGCAGCAACTACCGCTGTATAATCCCAGTGTGGAATAGGTCTGAGATAACCAAATAGAAGAAGCCATGGAACAAGCATTCCAAAGATTTGATACGAATTATCTCCCACTGCTAAGTACGTTGCATAAGCCCACATCGAACCTAAAATAGCATCGATACTCTTCTCGGAGAGCAAACCTTGCTGTCTTACCCACTAATGTTCCAACTAATCTCATTCTCATGGTCGTAAATGCTCCACCAACAGTATCTCCTTGGGTCATACAAAGACCCGTTAAAACTCATTGTCCATCGGCAAATGCATTGACCAGCGTTGGAACCATCACAAAAATCGAACCCACTCCAGGGATTAGCATACTTTTAAGTGCCGATAAGATTCGTGACCAATCGAAACGAAATTCAAAGAAATCTTTAAAGGATTTTTTTAGTTCGATCACTTTGAATTTTTTTTCTGGAGAATAGATAGCCGTGGCTTGGATTAATAATCGAGCAATCGTATAAAGTTGAAAAAAGAAAAATACATGCGACAAATGATCTTCGGATGGAGTTGGAATTTTAGTGCGAAGTACTTCTTCGATATGATGAAGACGAGCGTGTTTATAAGCTGACTGTAGTGAATTGAGTGCGGTCTGAAGATCTGTTAGATGATCAATAAATATCTCTCGAGCTATCGATGAAGGAGAAACCAGGCCAGAGATCACTTTTGATTGAGAAGAAAGGAATTGAGAAATATGCGGTTGAAGTTCTTCAATAAGATCATTATGATATTGATTGAGTGGACATTCTTTGACCATGGATTGTAGAGAACAGACTTGAAACATGAATGTTATGACGAAATCTACTTCATCTTCAATCGTCAAATTAATAATATGCCTTCGTTTTCGATTGAATAACCATTGAAAAAATCTCGATGGTTCAAATCGAGCTTCATCTAATCTTTCTCTCATATGAACTATGGTATGTTTGATTCGTCGTTCGATTATTGTTGCACGAGCTAAAGAAATACTCGCTGCGGCTTGATCTTGACATAGAAATGCTTGGAGAAGCAATGTTTGCATTTGATCAAGATGTAAGAGACAGTAATTCACACGACTTTCAACATCACGTGTGGCAAAAAGAGGGAAGGTCCAGGTAGAAACAAGAACAGCCACCAATGCGCCAAGAAGAAATTCAGCCAGTAATTCGAAGACAAAAGTCGATATAACTCCTTTGGCTTATGAGATACAAAATGAAGAAAAAAGTAGTAACAATTCACCGGCTACATAATCGTGATAGGATAAACCAATTTTTTGTACGATGAAGAGAAAGATGGACAAGAGAACAATGACCGATGTCAGATGAAGAACATTAGATAGTGTATCTCCGAATGTTTCACGTATGCATAAAATACTAAAGTTTGGTATGAGATATACTAAGGCTAATTTATTATGTAATGGAGTGGCATAACC